AACGACTAATTCGCGGCGTCGATTAACCGAATCGTAGCGAGAATTTATTCCTCTCGCTGACGCGTTTTCCTCGCGACCGCGTCTCTCCGCGAACGGTCGTAACAATATCATACGTAAAGGTAACTATTTAGTGTATTAAGTTATTGGAAATATGAATTTTATGACCCTGTCAATCGCTATATTATACCATATCAATTACCCCTATTATCCCACAAGAAATAAGAGGATCGATCTGTTCGTGGTGTCGATTCTTATAATCGTAATGAGAATTTACGACTCTCGTTGACGCGCTTCCTCGCGATCGCGTCTCCTCGCTAGTCCTCGCTGGTCCTTCGAGCTGGATCACGTGCCACTGATAAGTGCACTTACCAGTGACCATACAGTGTCACGTGAAATCAACATTTTATCGACTTAATCACCTAATCACACGAGTAGCCATCGGAAAGGAACTCCTCCCTCGCTAAGCATATGCGCGACCCCACACCGCACAATAACGAATGGCAACCGATTCCCGAACCAACGTCCAGTTCTTTAAGATAAGCTCGCTCAATCTATTAAACTAAAACATGGCCCACGCTGAACAGATCAGTGCATTGCGGCGGAGACGAAGCGCCTTAAGGAAAATTTAAAAAGACATAATGTTATTCAAGGGATTTGTGGCGGATCGGTACCAACAGGACGCCGACAGGTCGAGGCATCAACACGGTCGTAACACCTCTAGGGCGATCCGGGTACCAACCACCAACACCAGAGGGTCGCTACGACGACAACGAGTCTGTCTCTCTCGCTAGCGAATATACGAGGCATGATACAAATACCGCACCTAGCTAGACTCCCTCTACGTCTAAGGCAGGGACTACCGGGCATAGCCTTACTGATGAGTCCACCGGTAGTCCTGGGACGAAACGCAAACCTCTCTTTTCATCCGCCACATACATATAACAAGTAATTCCCTTTTCACACGGCAGTGCCATAATACTGCCAAAATGACTGCAAGCCTGGATTCACGACAACGAAGAGATCGTTGATCTCGTTGATCCTGCGGCTGCTCGAAATATATCAAGTAAGTCTAGATATGTTTTTCAATTCGATTAGTCGAAGTTGGAATTAGATGTACAAAATAATTTTTAAGCAACGCAACCTATAGTCGCCATTAATTCAAAAATAGCAGTTATAAAGCGGAAAGATCCTGAATTTAAGACTACGTCTGATGGCCGTCTTATTGTCAGAGTAGAAAAAGATGAACCAGAACGCAAGAGAAAGAAGAAATATGCACTTTTGTGCAGTGATTCAGAAGACGATTGTGGTAAGAATTGGGGTTAGATTTGGGGTTAGGAATTGTAGAATGTTACGTTGTGTCTGGCTCGTTTTGGTTGCGTTGCCGTTAATTTTTGAATTTAGACTAAATTGTAGTATTGTCTGTTATATAATGCTATTTGAAATTAAACTCCACGTTTCGGCTAACCTGCCATGCGCAGGAGTGCTAGCACGGGAGAGGATTAAAGTTGGTGAAAATAAATGTTCGCTTAATCCTGCTATATTATTAGACAAATATTCTTCACAAAAAATATTTATCCGTATTCTAATTGGATATTGACAGAATAGTCGTTGAAATTTCGAATGCTCGGAGTTACAATCGTTCGCAATGCGTTTCGCTCTTATTGATTACAAGATTTTAATTTCGATAGATTTTCGATAGTTTACAAATTGACAAATACAAACACGTCGATTAACAAGACTAACAAGAATTGGAAACTAATAAAACAAAAAGAACTAAAAGCTAAAGAACTAAAGGACTAGAGAATCTAAAAGCTGAGAGCAAAAACTAAGAGCTAAAGGAATTAAGAGCTGAAAACTAAGGAACTGAACTAGAGGAATTAAGAATTAATCGCTATGAACAAGAAATTACTTGCCAGGAAATGAGAACTAATCGCCAAGAACCAAGGAATTAATCACCAAAAACTGAGGAACTAATCACACAAAACTGAGGAATTAACTACTCTAAAACTAAGGAATTATTACCGCTTCTTCTATGCCGCTACGCTTATTTATATTTAGGTCTACCGTGGAGGGGTTGTCATGTGACGGGTTATTCCGTGGGGGTTGTGAGGTTCGAATTTGGTTTATGTACAAATTGTTAAAATTTATTTAAATTTCAAATTGGAACGCTCACTCGCGCTATTGGCAGTTTTAGCCTACGTTACGGCGCGTGCGCAGAGCGGGACGTGACAAAGAAAAATGTAAAGTAATTCAATGAAATAAGTGAACGAAGCCAATGAATTTATATGTTACATAATCAGAAGATGATGTTCAGTCTGTAGCCATGTCGCAAGCAATGGATAAAAAACGTAAATATAACGATAGTTATAATAACGTTAGCGTAAGGAGTGGATCTACATTGAAGTATCAAGATACAATAGTAATATATAATCTATAGTAAATTTTGGTCTGTTGTTTAATAACAATTTTGGTATCCATAGCAGGAGGATCTGGAATATATCGACCATTGAAAAAATCAAGAACAGAATGTATACCAGGAGCGAAATATAAAGCATCAAAGGCTGGAGGTGTTGTTAAAAAGGAAAGGAAAACCAGATCCATATGCTTATGTACCTTTGTCAAGAGCAGCATTAAACAAAAGGTAAATAATGATACCATGAATTTTGATTTAAATCGAAGATACGCATTGAATTGATTCATTTTTATCTTTAGAAAAAAGAAGAAAAATGCGAGTAAATGTTTATAACTATATAACTATGAGAAAACTCGAAGCAGCCCGAGCGCAACTGCATATACGAGGCTGCGAAAAGTATCTGTTATAACTCGATTAAGAGCGAGTATCATCAATGTATTGGGTTTAGGTTTGGGTCAGATTTTTCAATGCAACCGTAGCAAGGTGACCCTGGCAACGCTTGCACGAAATAACAACTATAATTTTATTTCATTAAATAATAAATCGGAAGTTATATCTGGTTCTTCGCACACGATAAAAATTTTATTACGAGATTGTGTCGGTAAAATATGTGAAACCGAAGAATCAATGAAAACGTAAGATTAGATTTAATTATTATTTTTCGTATCTATAATTTATATTTCATCATTTATATCATACTTTTAGATATAAGGACACTATCAATCAGATAACTTTTATGATCCATCAAGCATTAGGTTATCAATATTTGGAAGCTTGGTATCATATTCTTCATTTAATAGCCTTACTATTTCAGGTAATATCGATTCTACTATTTCTGGTAATATCGATTTTCTGCTTCTTACCCATTTGTCAATGTTGTACAATTCAACGTTCCCTTTTATTACAGGCAACTGGTAAAGCGAGAAGTCCGCAATTAATAGAGATATTAAAAAGTCTTGCTGAGTTACGTGATTCTTATAATTTTGCGTCGAAAAATGACGTTGAGTTACGTGATTCTTACAATTTTGCGTGGAAAAATGACACTGAGTACGCTATTGGAGCTGCGATAAGAGTGCTAGGACCGGAGACAGTATTAAATTTGATTCCATTGAAGGCAAGTACTTCTATATGAACCGGATTATGCTTAGAAAGAAAAACTTTATTTTATAATTACAGTAATATAAATCTCTATTCTATAGGTATCAGACAATGCGATTAATTTAAAAATAACTTGGCTACTACCATTATTGAAAGATTGTGTGCTAGGTGGGTCACATACTTTCTTCACGGAAGCATTGCTACCTATCGTTGCATTGTGCGAGTAAGTATTGTAATCTATCTTTATTATAAGAGTATAAATTATCTTATATTGATATTTTGAATGATAATTATACTCAATTTTAGAAAAAAAGCAACCGAACACCTGTACGCGGGAAAACTTACGAATTTCTCGTTTGCCAAGTCTGGGCTATTTTACCAAGTATATGCAACAACGCTACTGATGTGAAAGATAATTTCAAGGTATATAACAGAGATAAATATAAAAGATATAGTATCAAGTATCCATGAGATAACTTTTATCTTGTTTAGAATATATCTAAACTGTTAGGAACAAATTTAAATGAAAGAAAGAATTTAAGGACGTCGGCAACGTCTGCCTTACGAAGATTAATAACGAAAGCAGTCGAAGGCGACAAAAAAGAAGATATACACGAACTAGCTAGATTTGCAAAGAATTATTTACCATTGTTTTTAAATCTATACACTACTAAGCCACTTGGAACTGACGAAGAAGGACAACGCTTCGCCACGTTTGATACAATAAGAGTAATTTGTGAATAGAAGGAGTAATTTTCTTTAAAGAGATTAACTAATATTTTGTACAATTACAGGTGTATCTTACAATTACGGATAAAGAATTGGTACACGAATTATTCGATCGTGCGTTATTTAAGTTGAAAGAACCTGATATCGACGATTTTGTCAAAGAAAGTATTCACGATATAATAAGATTATTTATTAATCATACTGATATTAATAGATTAAAGACGTTTTACGATATGTGTGTACCACTTCTTAAAGAAATTTCTAAAACCAAGGAACAGAAGAAAGCGTATAGGTAACTTTTTAACATATTTGGAATTAAATATATTAACTATCTTTTCTGCAAAAACAAAAATTATTTTTTATTTGTATGTTCTTTCAGGTTTTTAGAAGAGATATGTGGCAGTGAGAAGGAAACGTGTAAAGAGTTTGTAGTTCAATACAGGCGCGAGATACAAAAATTATTAATATCCTCGGCTACTGAAGTCGATAATAATCCTCTGCTACTGAAGTCTCAAAGCCAAGCAGAGGAGTAAGTGCTAATTTTACAAACGTTGTTCTATAATATCAATTTCTTATGAAAATTTTAACAAATAAGCTTTACTCATTTTTTAATTAGGTACGATTAAGATGCTTAATTCATCTCATAAAAATTCATCCACAACTTGAGAAAACTAAGTTCTTCGAAGCCATTGTGCCCGAAGCAATAATGCGTTTAAAAGAGTTAAATGTGAAATGTCGAACTTCTGCATATCAACTTTTAAACATTATTGCCGATAAATTTTTAGGAAATCCTACACATCTTAAAGATTATGTTAATATGCTCATGGTTGGTTTGAGTGGTGCGATAGAAAATATACAGAAGTATTGTACCGCATCCTTGCTGGCACTTTCTTCTATCACTTATCATTACAACGGTACAGTTTATTTCAAACTAAAGTCAAAATAAATATTTCGTATAAAAATAAATTACAAGTCTGACAAGAGAAATTGCAGAAGCTGCATTGTCATATATCAAAATATATATTACTGTGATGCCATCTCATATTGCTACCTCGAATTTAAAATTGTTGGTTAGTAACAAAGGCGTTTAATTAATAATAATAACAGGTAGTAACAAAATCCCGTATATCTCAATAAAAAAACGAATAAGTGAATTTGCAGATAGGCGCTTTACGTGCAATGAACGATGACTGCCATACGCATTTCAGACAAAAAGTACGATATTCTGGTAAAGTTAATAAGAGAATACGGAATGGAAACAATTTTTGGCATGATTCCAGCTTCCAATGCGATGCTACGTAAGAGATTAAAAAATATGAATAAGGCAGAAGAAGCGAAGAAAAAGAAAAAAGAATTGAGGAAATTGAAAAAACAAGAAAATGACGAGGATGCTGAATTCAATGCAAAGAGAAAACCTAAAAGGTAACTTTGTATTTTCCTTTAAATGAAATTTTTCTTAAACCGAAACAACTCTACAATCTTTATCCAAATTCAGTATAGAAGAAATATTGGCGGATAGCGATGATGAGTTGGATGAAGATATGGGCAATGAAGAGTCAAGGAAAAAGAAGAAAAGAACATCGCGAAAGGAAGCCTGGATTCATGAGAATGAAGAGATCGTTGATCTCGTTGATCCTACGGCTGCTCGAAATATATCAAGTAAGTCTAGATATTTTTCAAAATTCGATTAGTCGAAGTTGGAATTAGATTTACAAAATACTTTTTTAACAACGTAACCTATAGTCGCTATTAATTCAAAAATAGCAGCTATAAAACGGAAAGATCGTGAATTTAAGACTACGTCTGATGGCCGTCTTACTATCACAGTAGATAATGAGAAAGATAATGAACCAGAACCCAAGAGAAAGAAGAAATCTGCGCTTTTGTTGCACAGTGATTCAGAAGACGAATTGGGGTTAGATTTGGGGTTAGGAATTGTAGAAAAATGTAAAGTAATTTTTATGTTACATGATCAGAAGATGATATTCAGTCTGTAGCCATGTCGCAAGCAATGGATAAAAAACGTAAATATAGTGATAGTTATGATAACGTTAGCGTAAGGAGTGGATCCACATTGAAGTATCAAGGTATAATAGTAATATATAACCTATAGTAAATTTTTAATAATTATATTAAATTGACATTGAGATGGATTCCTCTAGTCTAGACTGTGTAGCTATGTATATTAATAATAATTTACTTCTCTAGATTAAGTGACTTGTACTTATAAAGATGGCTACGTTAAGTGGTTTGTATTTTTATATCATAAGTAATTGAGTGGAACTCAACTGTTTCTGTGAAGCAGAGTGTATACTGCGAAGGAGGTGGCGATACCTGAAAGAGGTAAAAACGAGTATTATGGGGATAGGTTGCTACCTTACTTTTATTAAGCTAATATGAAATGGTGCCTTATAAGGTTAGCTGGTAGCTATTTAATACGTGATGGGTTTTTTACAACGATTATGTTACGTCGTGCGACATTCTTTCTAGAACAGGCCACACACCGCGGACAGGATGGCAACCAGATGTCCGCACTCCTTCACTGCGCACCTTCAATAGTCTTAAGAGCCGATCATAAATCTTAGAGGAATTTCTAAGATCCTTCAGACCGAACCAAACATCTGCACTAAGTCACTGTCTAAAGGTTATTGTTTACTACGGAAAGATAGGAGAAGTTCGTCTTTCTCATGTACGATGTTTTACACTAGCAACTTTCTCTCGGGGCGGTTAACACCCTTTCTCCACTCTTCCACACCAATCCAGAAAATTAACCTATTACCAGAAAAGTTCTTCCCTCACTCTCCCAAAAAGAACTTGGTCTTAACAAATCAGCTTTTCTCGCATCATTAGACCCACCCATCGTAAGTGTCCTTCGCTGCATCATCGTTACAGAAAGTCAGTCTTTATACTTTTTTTGAACCTTCAACATCTAAGCCTGCGTCGCGTACAACACCTCGTTACTCTAGCTATCAATCGAATTAATTGTACATTTCTAGTCAAGAAGTTGTTGGAATAAACATTAATTGTATTCGTTAATTCAGTGTAAAATCAATTTAACCACCCCTATTATCGCAAACGAAATCACGGGATCGATCATTTCGTTGCGTCGATTATCCAATCGTAATGGGAATTTACGACTCCCGTTGATGTGCTTCCTCGCAATCGCGTCTCCCCGCGAATGGTCGAAACAGATTGACTAGTGCTAAGTGTTTTGTATTCTTACTTACTATAAGTGAATGAGATAGTTTAAGTGCTTTGTATTCTTATTTATTATAAGCATGTATTCCGCAATTAAACGGCGAAGACGATATCGGAAGTACGTGAATTGCGAGCCATGTGTAGCGAACCCACGCTACTACTAAAAATGATCAAAATCGGGAAAATCTCGGGTAAAGCCGCAATGGCTATCCGCAATATACCAATAAACGAATACGGACACCTGTACGATGCCCTACGACGAAACGTAGCCACCCAAGATTCTGTTAGAGAACAAGACCAGCTACGCGAAACGAGACAGCGTCACGACGAAAGTGTGCAAAGTTATATCATCAGGTTCCGCAGA